AATAACATATTACTGTCTCTCAGACAAGAAATACTTTTTTAAAACTTATGATAAGAACGGTGGCTCATATTAATTGAGACCTAGAAACATAATTATTATTATTTCTTAAGTTTACGGTAGATTTTAAATGTAGCTAACCTCCTATCTTGACGACCTCCAGCTAAAAATAAAAAGACTCATCTAGATTAATTAAAACCCTCTTCGAGTACCGCCGATACCAGCCAAGTGTACAATAAGAGGATTATGTTCGGTGTTTCTTCTTTTTTTTTTTTTGTCTCTAAAAAGAGTAGGGATGAATTAAACAAGCTGGACACGCAAGCAGCAGACGTAGGATGGTTAATGAGTAGAATCCGGGACAGGCCAACATCAATCTTTGAGAAAAAATTATCCTTATTTTTCTCGTGATGACAGATCTATTCCACCAATTACCGTTCATTCTTAAATATTTCCAAGTTTTTTTGTTGTTGTTTTTTTAAAGGAAAATAATCGGGTTGTTCGCCCGGTTCTTGGATAATGGGGGATAGTAGAGGGGGGGAAACAGTGTTCATCCGTCTCATTATAAGACAGGAGTACCGCGTTTGTCTGAGAATAACGAAGTCTTTTTTTTTTTCAGTGGAGTGTGTGTAGCATATAATACGTAATCGATTTTGGAAAATACATGCGATGCTAACGCCCTCTTCGGGAACAGATTTGTCTGGATTGATGTTAGCCCAGGTCTGAGAGATCTCGGTTCGTTTTCTGGGTCAATTCACTTACAATCTTTCTCATTCTGCTAGGGTTGTGCTTAGTATCTCAAGAGACCATAACTATATTTTACGCCTCAAACACTGAAGGATTGGAAAGGAGTTATATTGCCTAAATAGAATATCAGCTCTGGGAGTCCTCATTCACTTGAATCATTATAGACCCATTATCTCGAAAGTAGTTCGGCGTAAGAATATAACTCCCCTTTTGTGTGGACTCTTAAGTCTCTGGAACACTCAAAAGGCCACTCTCACTCTGACGACGGGGACTACATGAGAGACCACTGACTATACCAGGGTGATCTGATAAAACGCATTCTTCTTCTTTGTTTGTTTGTCTTTAGTTCAAATTCGATAAAATTTGGTATAGTCGTGGTAAACGAAATATATCTTCATTTGGGATAGCCAAACAAAAACAAAATAAATGTTTGTTTAATTAGCAAAAAACACAAAATTACGATTATCTTGAAACCCTGATTTTGAGAAAAATGCGTTTTATCAGATCACGGCAGATATAGGTTACGCGGAACCAAGCATTTTTTAATATGAATTATGTATACATATGAGATATTAATATATCATTATTCTTTTTCAGGCTTCAGGATCTGGGGCAAACATTGACGATCATGGTACCTCTTTCCTTCCTGGTGTATGTCTTTCTGATCAGCTGGGTTTTTTTTCTCATTGTGTTCTTTGTCGCAGAGTTGTTCTGGCAATGTATGTATGTGTCACAGCGCGGTGGAATCAGGCGCTCGTCAATTTTTGGGCATGTAGAGTTATTGGTATCATCTTAAAGTTTGTTCACTCGTCTTGTTATTGGTGAAACTAACGCTCATCTATCTAGAATATGGGTCGAGATATTAGCGATTGAACGAGGTTTGAGTCAACTGGTTTCAGGGGTAAAAACTTGCGAGAAAATGGCTGCCAGATGTTGGTGACTTTTAAAGCTTGAGAGTACTCGAAAACTGCAAATTCGCATTTTCTGTGCCTTTAAACAACGTATTTCAGTAAAATTCACACTGGAATGTGCTTTTGAATAGACATAATTTAAAGTGTTAAGCTAAAAAACAAAAAGATTCAATAAAAGTTTCCAAACCTGCGGGAAAATGCCAATGTTTTCAATTTCAGGATCTTGACGAGCGCCTGATTTCACCACTCTGCCTCACGTATGTTGTTCTCTGTATTCCTCTGTTCTCCAGTCCATCTATGTTTCCACATAGCAGAGGTGTCTCTGCTTCATTTGATTTGTATACGTTGTCACAGAATCTCAATTCTCTCTTTTTTCTAATGGTTTTAATTATAGATCTTTTGCGACCTGTCATTTTGGACACATGAGATTCTGAGTAATTTTCTTTAACTCGTTTATACCGAAGACTTTTCCTCCTTTGATGGCAGTCAATTTTGTTATCCAACTTTTTAGCATCACGACCTTTCCCACTACTTCGATCTTATTTCACTCATTTGAATAAATAAACGTCAAACTGAGTGGAAGTGAATGACTAAAGCAGGGAGCAAACATATTTATCATAGACACGATGGGTTTGCTGAGCTTTAGTAGATTGTTGTAATGGCTGTAAACAGCCAAGTGATGCCGTGAGCTGGCTGAACTGGTGCGTCGTATCATCATCATCCGGTGCCTTGCCGACTGGCGTGGGCGATCATGGACCTCCACTTCCATCTGTCTTGCGTTGCAGCAATGGTGTCTGTTGTTCTTGCTGCTCATAGCCATGTTGTCATCTTGTCCAGTATCTTTTCCCTCGGTCTGCCTCTGCCTCTCTTTCCATCAAACTTGCCTGTTATTACAATATTCTCCAATGCTTCTTTCCGCAGTGTGTGTCCGAAGAAGTTTGCCTGTCGCTTTCTTATATTCGTGATAAGCTGTCTTCTACAATTTGCTTCAACCAAGATTTCTTCATTTGTTTTTCTAGCTGTCCATGCGATACGTAGCTTGCGTCTTATGAACCACAATTCTTCTTTCCAGCTGTTTATTGATTGTCCATATTGTGTCGTATACTAAGAGTTAATTAATACTACATCTGCGATGTATCATGGTGAAATCAGGCTCCCGTCAAAAATTTTTAAAATCAAAGAAACCGGCTTTTTTTCAGGACATTGGGCAAATTTTATAAATTTTCTTTTAATGAGTAAACACCTTTTTCATTCTACATTCATTTATAAACACATTTCTGTGTGGGGTTTACTGAAAAACGTTGACCAAGGGTACAAAAAGTACAAGTATAAATTTGCAGTTTTCAAGGACGCTCCAGCTTTGGAAGTCACCATATTTTGGCGACCATTTAATTTTTTCGCCAATTTTACGTCTGACATCAGGCGATCCAGATTTTTATTCAGATAGATGGGTATGTTTTTTTTTCTTCAAAACCCAAGACAAATGAACATACTTTTAGATTAAACCAGTATCTCCTTATTTCCCCAAAAATGACGAGCGCCTGATTCCACCGTGTTGTGACATATTTCGGCGGCCTCCATCGATCTCTTGGCGAAATTTTCAACCAATGGAAAACCTGATCCTCGTGATGACGTGTCATTCAGTACACACCAATGTCGACTGTCGGTAAACTGAATACTGGCACAAAGTAATGCGGCCTGCCTTCAAAACACAGCCTTCATTTAAAAAAATTTTAAAAGAAAAAGAAAACGAGACAGCCAGCCAACAAGACCTGCCAGACTCGTTCAAGTAAAAGGCAATTGCAATCACAATGTCATTATAATGTTTTGATTCTTTGGCCTCCATCGTGGTTCGAGTTTTTTAAGAATTATTTTTTTAACTTG